ACAATTCCTAGTCAAGATCAAGAGCATGGCCATAAGGAAAATAAAATATCATACCAATCTTCAAGTACAGAAGAAAGACAACTCAACTGTGGAGAAAAGGGCAAACAGAAAGGTGTATTCAAAGGCAGTATTTCCATCCAAACTGAAGAGCAAATACATGGCGAGTCTCAAAACCAGGTAACAATTTCTAATCAAGATCAAGAGCATGGCCATAAGGAAAATAAAATATCATACCAATCTTCAAGTACAGAAGAAAGACGACTCAACAGTGGAGAAAAGGACATACAGAACAGTGTATCCAAAGGCAGTACTTCTATCCAAACTGAAGAGAAAATACATGGCAAGTCTCAAAATCAGGCAACAATTCCTAGTCAAGATCAAGAGCATGGCCATAAGGAATATAAAATATCATACCAATCTTCAAGTACAGAAGAAAGACGACTCAACAGTGGAGAAAGGGGCATACAGAAAGGTGTATCCAAAGGCAGTATTTCTATCCAAACTGAAGAGAAAATATATGGCAAGTCTCAAAACCAGGTAACAATTCCTAGTCAAGATCAAGAGCATGGCCATAAGGAAAATAAAATATCATACCAATCTTCAAGTACAAAAGAAAGACGACTCAACAGTGGAGAAAAGGGCATACAGAAAGGTGTACCCAAAGGCAGCATTTCTATCCAAACTGAAGAGAACCAGGTAACAATTCCTAGTCAAGATCAAGAGCATGGCCATAAGGAAAATAAAATATCATACCAATCTTCAAGTACAGAAGAAAGACAACTCAACTATGGAGGAAAGAGCATTCAGAAAGACGTATCCCAAAGCAGTCTTTCTTTCCAAACTGAAAAGCTAGTAGAAGGCAAGTCTCAAATCCAGACACCAAATCCTAATCAAGATCAATGGTCTGGCCAAAATGCAAAAGGAAATTCTGGTAAATCTGCAGATAGAGAACAAGACCTACTCAGTCATGAACAAGAAGGCAGATACCAACAGGAATTCAGTGGGGCACATAATACTGTAAATATAGAGCACGAAGTTGCCTATGATGATCTTTTGACACAACAATATAATGAAGACAGAAATCCAATATCTACATAGCCCTATTGCTTAGAAACCACTTGAAAAGCTGGACCATAACAAGGTAAGTTTTCTTTTCTTACCAAGTGGGAGAGGTGCCTGTCCCAAAGTTGGGGACTCTCTAGGAACATGGTAGGACTGATAACCATTATTCACATCAATAGAAGTGCTGTATTACAAGTGGTGGGAAGATGAACACCATTTCCTGGTGAGTAGAGGACATGGTAGTGGCAGGGAAGGATGCTTGGACTATCACTGGGTCCTAGAATTCCTATTCTTAATTGAGTATTCTTCAACAATATTTTTATACATGCCTACCTGCTAAAGGTTTTTTTGAACATGCACTGACTATATATGCATATTTATGAGTTTATGGTATACTCTTGTCAATTCTTATACTTTAGATTAGTAAACCTCAAATTATTTCTCATATAGTATGAAATACTACAGCAGTTAACATTTTCTTTCTGCATGTACATGAATGTTCTTGCATCCCTGTTAGAGTTCATCTATGCTCCTTCAGAGACCACAAGCCCAAAGACTAGCAGTCCGCTCTCTCCGAATATAGGAAAGATATGAGTAGAAAGCAGGATTCCTGTTCAGGTTGTGAAAAAGGAAGTGTAAAGGGAGGTGCAGGAGATGGTGAGAGATCTCAGGTGCTAATTGGACACTTGCAATGTCAGGAGAGGAAAATTTTAACCTGGATTGGGGAAATGGTTCTTCCATGCCCCTTTGCAATACGTAACACTACCTGAAGAGAGGGTAAGCAGCAGAAGCAATGGTCCCAGCTGATAACTAGTGACCTGGTGTCCTAATGATCAGGGGGCTGGTGCAGTTGGTGCTAAAGGGGACAGGGGTCCCAGCTCTCCCATCCTCACCCCCACTCTCCACTATTCTCACATATCTGGTTGTCTTTTCTCTCTCTAGGTGTCACCTGACCTCAGTGAAGTCTTTGATGTTTCTGAGATGCAGACTCCCATGTGGTCCCAGATCCTTGGCCTGTGAATGACACCACCTTCAAATTTCCAATAAAGGGATCATTTTCTGCTTTATCTGCTTTTGGCTCCAGTAATCTCTGAACTCCTAGTAGCTCAAGGGGCTGAGGGCATTTCTGATAAAAATGGTTTTGGAAGAAAAGAATGGGATATTTTTGAAGTATTGGGGAAAATAGTAATCAAAGCCACATTTCTAGATGTATTGATAGAAATCCAACACTAAAAACAAGATGCTATTACTCTGCCAGGCACACATTTACCTCCTGATGCCAATTCTAAAGTCTCTCGTGACCTCTGTACTAATAGGACCCCAGGATCTAACAGTCCCCCAGAAAGAACAGAGAAAATGTATTGCAACAAGCCCTAGGAAAGTCCCTGATCTACTAGTGCCATGAGTATTCCCCCAGTCCACAGCAGCACATCCCTTCACTTAGCTTAAGAATTGTCCTACTCCTACAGCATACATTTAGATACAATTACACCAAAGAGTGGTATGTCAAGTCTCCACCACTTCAGCAAGAGTGAGTGGATTTAAAAATGTCATCTGTGAATGGAAAGATCAGAGGACCAGGCCAGAGTCTTGGGGCAGGTGGTGTGTTAATAATATAAATTCTACTCCTTTTATGCCCTTTCACCCTCTATTCTAAAGATGCTTCCAGGGAAAGCCAAACATCCAGGAGAAGAAGCCAGCGTAGAGGAATAAGAAAAATCACTAGCCTGGGAATAAGAGATCTGGATTCCTTTCTAGCTCTGTTTTAAGAACTAGTACATCTTTAATTAAATCTTTTCTTTCCTGCAAGTTTAAGTCCCACATCTGCACATGAAAAACTTTGACACAGTTAACTTCATAGTACATGCTGACTAAATATTGTAGAGCTTCCTTAAAAAGAAAGAGAGAGAGAGAGATGGAGGCAGAGGGAGAAGAGAGAAAGAGAGAAGACAAAGAGAGAGAAAGAAAGGAAAGAAAGAGAGACAGAGAAAGAAAGAAAAGAAAGAAAGAGAGAGAGAAAGAAAGAAGCAAGAAAGAGAAAGAAAGAAAGAAAGAAAGAAAGAAAGAAAGAAAGAAAGAAAGAAAGAAAGAAAGAAAGAAAGAAAGAAAGAGGAATGAAGGAAAAAGGAAGGAAAAGAAAGGAAAGGAAGAAAGAAGAAGAAAGAAAGAGAGAGAGAAAGAAAGAAGCAAGAAAGAGAAAGAAAGAAAGAAAGAAAGAAGGAAGGAAGAAAGGAAGAATCTTCTCTACGAGGTCTCATATTGCTTGTAGATGTGTGATAAGAGACTTGGTCATAGTGTTATGAGAATCCTGTCTCTCTTCACTGCATCCTTCCCAAAAACACAAAGGCCCTGTGTTCAGCCACCTGCCTTGTTTTACCAGCCCACCAGTTAAAGAGGAGAAGCTGTGTTGGGCTTAGGGGCCTTAGCATCAGGGAAGCTACAATTACCTGCTACAGTCTACTGAACAGACTGTCTTCTCTATATGTGGAGAGACATACATTCAACAGTTTCCCTGACATGTTGCTGATTGTGCAGGGAGGGAAACCTAAATTAGCATGCAAATAACCAAGACAGCCAGAGTCATAAATGCTGTGTGCTGTGTTACAATTAGCTTGAACTGTGGATCCCACCGCTTGCATAGTCTGGGAAAGTGGGGTCTCTGATGTAGAGTTCCTTCATCTTAATGTGGGGATAACAATAACCATCTCACAGAGGTGCTTAGAGATATTGAGTGAGATGATCTCAACCCCAGTGCTCAAAAAAAAAGTGCCAGGACAACAAATTTGGAAGTAATAATAATAAAATAATTTTTTATTATGCCTTCTTTGAAAGAGAGGTAAAATACATATAAAGAAAAGCACAGATCTTGTGTATTTACTTGAATGAGATTTGACAAACACATACATGTGATTGCACAACACATAGATGAACATATGGAACACTCATCTTGCCTTATGCTCCTTTCAAATTCAGTCCCAGTTCTTCAGGGGAAAATATTATACTGACTTCTAGAAACTCATAACTCACTGTTTTTAATTCTTATATAAGGAAATTATGTAATAACATTACCTTTTGTGTATCACTGTTATTCAGTGTTGGGATTCATTCTGTTTTGTTGTATCACAGTTCATTCATTTTATTGCTGAATAGCATTCCATTGTTTGACTCTCCACATTCGTTTTCTATTTATCTGCTGATAAACATTTGGTGTTCCCAGTTTGGGTCATTGTGAATTAGGATATCACATAAGTTCTTGTACAAGGCACAGTAATATATATTTTTAAATACCTGTGGTAAATAACTAGGAGTAGAATTTTCTCCCAGTGTGTGGCTTGTTTTGTTTTGTTTTGTTTTGTTCTCAATGATGATGTATTCGGAAGAGCTAAAGTTTTAAAATGTGATGAAATCAAACACATTCATTTTCCTTTTAATATGAATATTATGGTATCTAAGAACTTTTGCCTTCCCCAAGGCTGCAAAAATGTTCTGTCTGTGATGTCCTTCCCTAGAAGCTTCATAGGTTTAGCATCTATACTAAGGTTTATGGTCCAACTTGATTAATATTTGCATTCCACTCAAGGTGCAGCTCCAGATTCCTTTTTCCCAGATTCTCTTGTTTTTATTAATTATTAATAATGCTGCTATGGGCACTCATGTGCAAATATTTGCATGAATACATTTTCAGTTCTCAGGTATAATTATGGAAGTGGAATTTTTGTATCTGGTGTGCTATAAGGTTCTAACTATATTCTTTTGCATGTGGATATCCAGTTTTCCCAGTATGATTTGCTGAAAAGACGACTTTTTCTGCTGAATGGTTTTTCTCCCCTTGTTGGAGATAAGTGAATTGGCAATGTAACGGTTGATTTTTGGACTCTTAATTCTATTCCTTTGATATATGTGTCTACACTTATGCTAGTACCACATTGTCTTGACGTTGTAGCTTTGTAGTAAGTGTTGAAATAGGAAAGTATGAGTCTTCTAAATTTACACTCTTTTTCAAGATTGTGGCAGCTATTCTGGATCCTTGCATTTACACATGAACTTTAGGATTAACATGTCAATTTCTACAAAAAGTCATCTGGAATTTTATAAGAATTCCATTTAGTTTTCAGATAAAATATGGAAAATTGTCTGCCTAACAATATTAAGTCTTCAATCCACAAACATGAAATGGCTGTCTATTTTTATGTCTTCTTTAATTTCTTTGATCATGATTTGTTGTTTTCATGTAGAAGTCTTGCCATTATTTTCTTAAATAAATTCCTATGTGTTTCATTCTTTCTGATGCTATTGTAAATGGATTTTTTTCATGACGCAATTGAGAGGTATAGGTTGATATTTTGTCCTGCACCTTAATGAGTTTGTTTATTAGCTCTAATAATATTTTGGAGTTATGTGGATTATTAAAAGTTTTCTACATATGCCATCATGTCAGTGTTTCATGTATGGGAAATCTAATGGTGAAAAACATGAAGTATTCGTGTACCTGGGAGTATCTTAATTTTTCCCTAACTTGTGAAGGATAGATTTGCCAAGATATAGAATTCTTGGTAGACCGATATTTCTTTCACCACTTTTAATATGTTCTGTATCTTCTGGCTTGCATGGTTCTAATGATAAATCAGCTGTAAAGCTTATTTAATAGTCATTTTGAATTACTTATCTCTTGCTGCTTTCAAGAATTTCTCGGTCAAGCGCGGTGGCTCATGCCTATAATCCCAGCACTTTGGGAGGCCAAGGTGGGCAGATCACAAGGTCAGGAGTTCGAGACCAGCCTGGTCAACATGGTGAAACCCCATCTCTAACTAAAGATACAAAAAATTAGCTGGGCATGGTGGTGCACACGTGTAATCCCAGCCACTAGAGAAGCTGGAGCAGGAGAATCTCTTGAACCCAGGAGGCAGAGGCTGCAGTGAGCCAAGATCGTGCCATTGCACTCCAGCCTGAGCGAAAGGATGAGACTCTGTTTCGAAGAAAAAAGAATGTTTCTTTGTCTTTGTCATTCATATTTCCATTATAAATTGTCTAGGTGTGGATCTCTAAGAGTTTTTCTTAGTGTTCACTGAGATTTTTATACATGGAGATTTGTGTTTTAAAGCAAAATCAAAATGTTTTTAGCCATTATATCTTCAAATATCCATCTGCCTCTTTCTTTCTGTCTCCTCTCTTCTGGGATTCCCATTATGCACATGTTTTTCCATTAGACTGTATTACACAGGTCTCTGAAGCGCTATTTATTTTTGTTTGTTCTTTTCTTTGTCGTTCCTCAGAGCGTATAATCTCAATTGACCTATAATTATATTAGTTATTCCTCTCTTCTGTCTATTCCTATCTGCTGGTAAGAACCTCTTATGAATTTCTATATCAGCAATTTTACTTTACAACCTCATCATTCATCATGAATGCTTTTTATGATGTGAGACTGATTTTTATACTTTCTGTTAATCTTTTTGCCCACGATTTTGTTTAGTTCTTTGAGTATAATAGCCGATGTCTTTGACCACTAGGCCATTGTCTGGGATTCCAAAAGGATCATTTCTATTTATTGTTTCCCCTCTTTTTTGTGTATGGGTGGTATTTCATGTTTCTTTAAACATCTCATAATTTTTAAATAAAATTGGACTTTCCACATAATATAATTTGGCAGCTTTGGAAATAAGACTCTATCTTCACCATTTGTTTGTGTGGTTTTTATTGCTGAATACTTGCTTAGTGGCATTCCTGGACTAATTTTGTAAAGCCTGTGTTATACATCGTGTGCAGTCACTAAATTCCCTGTTTTGTTTGCTTACTAGTCAGATAGTGGACACCAATGACCTTAAATCCTGTAAGCCCATAAGTTGGTCTTTTGACTTTATTAACTAGTGAAGTTTTCACACAGTCATGAAAACATTAAGACATGAATTAAATGAGAAAATTTTTTCACGAATTAAACTTAAAGTCCATAGTGCAAAAGGAACTAGAATTTTCATAAATCTAGAAATTGTCTTGCTAATAGATCAATATCTGGCTTTGACTTTCTGTCTGTGTGTCAATGTTAATGTAGTAAAAGTAAACATTTCAAATGCACCCTTGTCTGAACATGGCTGTGAGGAGTCGGTTTCAAATGTTCTGGATACACAGTGGGAAGAGGGAAATTGGTCAGTCCTGATGCAGTACCTGGGAAAACCAATGCCCTCCTATTACCTAAAAATTCCACAGTATAAACTAAGAATGACGAAGAGCCAAGACAGTTCTGCAACACCCTGAAAAAAGGAAAATCCATGGGGGCTCTGAAAAATTACACCCCAGAAGTTGTTTCACGTGGTTGCTTCCTGGAAGTGAAAGAAAACAGCTGGTGCTTCCCGGTCACGTTGAAGCGCCTCTATCTCCAGCCCCCGGAGCCACAGCACCACCTGCTGGTGGGACCCCGCCAGAGCTGACATAGGTCCAGCCTCCAGGTGCGCCCAAGCCCTTTTCTTGCATTATGAAGCTAAGCAGCCTCTCTCTATTCGCTGTGACCGTCCCCCTCTGCCTCCTCCACATGGCCCAGCCTGGAGTCCTGAAAAGTGGCGGGTAGGGCGTGGCGACCCGTAGTGTGGCTGGAGTTGGGGAACCTTTCCTCTGAGGAGTCCGTGCGACGACCTGGCTCTCATGCCTGGAAGCCATTTGGCGTCCCCGACTCACCCTGTGGCATTTTTCTCCAGCTGCACAGAAACCTGGAAGTTGCCCAGAGTTTTCTCTTGACTGCCCTTTCATCCTGTTACCTATGTGCTGGCGGGATAAAAGCTGCAAGGAGGTCAAATGGTGTTGCTACTACAAACGTCGGCATCAGTATAGGGAGCCCTGCTGGACTTCGGATTGAGGTGAGGAGCCCCAGATCTGCTGCCCGTGAAACCTTCCTGCAGAAGCATTGTCTTAGAAGGAGTTGAGAACTGCCTATTCCCGTAGAAAATCACTGTGATCAGAGGTTTTAAATTAGGTCGGCCCATAGATCTGCCTCAGGACAATGAAGGGAGAAGCTCAACAGAACTCCTTGCTTAGATTATGCACCTTCCATTTCACATAATGGACTTCGCCCTTCTCCTCTCTGTAAAGAGGACATTTCAGCAAGACTCATTAAGATCCTCAACAGTTACCGGCTTTTTATTATTTTTGATTCCTATTTTCTGCAGCTTATAATAATGAAACACTTTCCTGTTCATATTTACATTGTGAGTGTTTATGTAATTTCACAGTTCCTTAGGATGGCTTGCCTAGAATCCCTGATCCCAGTCCTTGATTCCTGGATAGCACAAGCCAGTGTTCTTCGGAGGAGAATACGTAAGAGGATCCAGACAATGGCGTCCTATTGCCTCAAAATCTGCTGGATAAAGTAAGAATGATGAAGAGCCAGGACAGTCCTGCAACACCCTGAAAAGAGGCAGTCCATGAGGGCTCTCAGAAGTTACACCCCAGTTGTTTTACGTTGTCTCTTCCTGGCTTCCTGGAGGTGAAAGGAAACAGATGGTGCTTCCGGGTTAAGCAGAGGCACCTCTGACCTCCAGCCCCGGGAGTCAAAACGCCGTCTGTTGACGGGGCCCCACCAAAGCTGACATAGACAGGTCCAGGCTGCAGGTGCACCCACACCGTTTTCTTGCATTATGAAGCTGAGTGGTTTCACTCTACTCTCTGTGATCATCCTCCTTTGCCTCCACATGACCCAGCCTGGAGTCTTTAGGAGTGCGGGTAGGGCCTGGCGACCCTGGATGTAGTTGGGGGGGAACGTTTCCTTTAAGGAGTCCATGAGGTGACCTGGCCTGAAAATCACACATTGGTGCCCACTCATCCTATGGCTTTTTTTTCTTTTTTCTTTTTTTTTTTTTTTTTTTGAGTCTCGTTCTGTCACCCAGGCTGGAGTGTAGTGGCGCGATCTCGGCTCACTGCATCCTCCGCCTCCTGGATTTAAGCGATTCTCCTGCCTCAGCCTCCTGACCTATGGCGTTTTTTCCAGCTGCACAGAAACCGGGATATTGCCCAGAGTTTGATCTTACCTGCCCTTTCACCCTCTTACCTATGTGCCGTCGCGATAAGGGTTGCAAGGGAGTCAAGAAGTGTTGCTACTACAACTGTCGGCATCAGTGTATGGAGCCCTGGCGGACTCTGGATTGAGGTGAGGAGCCCCAGATCTGCTGTTCTCCTTGCTGCCCCTAACTCCTTCCCTCAGAAGCGTTTGTCTTAGAGGGAGTTGAGAACTGCCCATGCGTTTAGCAACTATTGTGAGCAGGGCTTTTAAGTTGGGTCAGTCCACGGATTTGCCTCTCTGACGTGAAGGGGGAGGCTCAACAGACCTCTTTGCTCAGATATGCACCTTCCACTTCACATAATGGGCATCACGGTTCTCCTCTCTATAAATCTCTATAATGTCGACATTTCAACAAGATGATCTCTAAGGTATTCAATAGTTACTGGACTTTGTTATTTATTTTCAAATCCTTTTACTTACAGTTTACAATCATGAAACAGTTTCCTCTTTACATTTACATTGTGAGGTAAGTTTATAATTTCACAATTCCTTAGGATGACTTGCCTAGCGTCCCTGATCCGCAGTCTCTGAGTCTTTGGCAGCACCTGCCAGTGTTCTTGTGAGGAGAATACCTAACAGAAATCACGCCTCAGTGCCCCTGGAACACAAAACCATGTGCCCTGTACATTTTGCATCTTCCTATATCTCTGGTTTCCTGTTCTCTCCCAAGGTGGAAAGCCCTTCTTTACCAGGACTGAGGAGACACAGGTGCTACAGGCTCAGACTGGGATAACTGGTCTCCATGTTGTCCATGATCGCTCAGGCCCAGGACTTCCTTTTAGCAAGAGTTAAATGTTTCTTACTATGATAACAAGACAAAGAAATAAAGCGTTGTATATTGAAAACTCCATGAACATCTGTAAGTCTGCTGGATTGATCTCTTGCTCTCTCTCTCTCTACTCAGCCGTGTTGCATAATCCCTCAGGAACTGTAAAAAGGACGGAGTTACTGTTTCACATTTAGTTTCATCAATTCCTGCACTTGTGTTTTTCAGATATGTTTGTCTCTTTCAATATCTCCTGACACTCAGATTCTCTGTTGGTCAGATTCCAGGCGCATTTTGGAGTTAAATTCTCTGTGATTGCATCCTATGAATGGCATGCCAATTAATTCTGTAATGGAAGAGCAAGCCATTTTTGCTTCAGTTTTTCTGGTACTACTGCTGGTGGCCTTTCCACGTGTTGGAGTAATATGATCTGCAATTGGATTTGGAACTTAAGGTTGGAAACTGAGCAAGATGTACTTTAGTTCTAGGTACTTTCATTCCTAAAAATTGAGCCACCCTCTGTAGAGGACTGTGTGCTGGCAAACGAGAAGTTCCTGATAAGCCCTGCTCTTGCAAACAAAGCAGGACATTCCTTCTCTGCAAACAAGAAGGATAAAGGAGTCAGCTGTAAGCAGCGGGCTCTGGGAACTGGTCAATGTTTTACTGATCTTGCGAGTCAAGGAAAGGTCAGAGAAGCAACACATGTCCCATGACTTGGCAACATTCCACAAACGGCTGGATAAAAATAAAGCAGTGTGTGCCGTTCGGGGCGGCCGCCATGTATGTCTTGTCCTGTGTTGTCTTGTGTGTTCATTCCTTTGTTTAGGAAACACACGGACCCCAACACCCTCAATTTGGAGAACAAAATCCTTACGGTTCAGCCTACCTCCCTTGAATCTTTGGTTGGGGGTTGGGCCCTAAGTCTACCTAATAATGAAGTGTATTTAGCCATGAATTTTCCAGATTTGTAACTCTGTGCTTCCTTAACTCCCACAAAGGTTTCAAGGGTCTGGGAAAGTGATTTTCCAAAATTTTATTTATCTCTAACAAGTATCTTAACAATTTTGAAAAACTACTTTTTCCCAAGCATGTTTCAAATTGGCATCTAATATTTTTATGATCATTGCATAGTTTCTTTTTTTTTTTCTGTAAATAAAATTTTATTGGAACACAGACACGTTCATTTGTTTACACATTGTCTATGTACGTTTTCATTCTATGCTGGCAAAGTTAAATAATTGTCACAGGGGGCCACATGACCCACGAAGCTGGCACAACTTACTGTGTAGCTCTAAATAGAAAAAGTTACTCAACTTCTGGATTTCAGCATTAATTCCTAAGAGAGAAATTAATACCTGAGAGAGGGTGCAGGTGCAGTACTGAGTACTAATGAGTACTGCATAGTACTGATGAGATCTGACCAAGCAGTGGCTGGATAGATTTAAAAACTAAATGATAAATGAACAAACAAAAACTCTGAAGATTTTTATGATTTTATGACAAATTTAAAGTTTTAAAATAAATCAGGATTTGATAAAAACAAAAGCAAAAACAAAAACCCTAGCAAAACATAAACCTGCCAGTCAGGAATAGTCTAGATTTTTGTGAAATAACTTAAATGACAGCAGTCATTGTTATGGGGAAGCTGGATATAATGGAAGGATGTGGAATAAAACTATTAATTTGCTTTAATATGTATAACGTAGGCAGAAAATATCTAGCAGAGATCTCCTGAAAATAGTACAAAATGGAATTGAAAAAAGTGATTTAAAAATTCAGATGTAGATTGATACCCTTCAATCTTCTCTTTGCTGTTTATGTGCCAAGTCTAAGCAATTAAAATGCTTTACTAATTGCCCAGCACTTTGGGAGGCCGAGACGGGCAGATCACGAGGTCAGGAGATCGAGACCATCCTGGCTAACACGGTGAAACCCTGTCTCTACTAAAAAAAAGACAAAAAATACAAAAAAAAACTAGGCGGCGGATGGGTGGGCAGGGCGCTGGTAGTCCCAGGCTAACTCGGGGAGGCTGAGGAAGGAGAATGGCGCGGGAAACCCAGGAAGGCGAGCGCTGCATGTGACCTGAGAGCTGGGAGCCACGGGCCGACGTCGCCAGCCTGGGCGACGAGGAGGCAAGGGGACGCGCGTCTCAAAAAAAAAAAACACAAAAAAAAGGCTTATAATTGAACACTATAAGAAAACCTGGATACTGGCTAGGTTTAAGCAGGTCTAGTCCTACTGATCATCTATCCTAAGAGACATTCAGGGCCCAGGCACGGGCTTACGGTATCAATCCCAAGCACGTGTCGGACCGTCGAGGCGAGCAGACACCTGAGGTCAGGAGTTGAGACAGGCCTGGCCGAGACATGGTGAATCTCCCGTCTGCCTACTAAAAAATACAAAAAAAGCCAGACTGGTGGCATTACTGCAGGCTCAGGCTACTCAGGAGCTGATGGGCAGGGTTAAAAGGCTTAAACCCAGGAGGTGGGAGTTTGCAGTGAACCAAGATGCATCACTGCACCTAGCCGTTGGCAGATAGAGTAAGACTCCGATTGGCAAAAAAAAAAAAAAAAAAAACGAAAAAAAGCACTTCAAAATGAGTGGTCCTAAAGTAAAGGAGAAGTTAATCAACGTTGGACTTCTGTAGCTAATTTTGTATGGATGCATTATAACTTTAAGTTCGTAGGGTGACAGAGGGCAACAATGTGGCAGGTTTGTACATATGGATACCATGGGACCAGTGGTGTGGTGCGGGCGCACCCCATTAGACTGGTCAGTTAGCAGTTAGGGTGAAGTATCTATCCTAATGCGCTATCGCCTCCCGACTTCCCCAACCCTACAACAGGGGCCCCCGGCATGTGATGTCGCGGCTTCCGGGGGCCACGTGTCTCAGTGGGTCAAGTTCCCACCCTAGATGATGGAGAAGAGTTGCGAGTATTGGGTTTAGCTGCCTTGTGATAGTTCTTGTCGAATGATGGTTTCCAGGTTCATCAGTGTCCCTTGCAAGAACGTGACGGAAAACTCACCTTTTGATGGCTGGCAATATTCCATGGGGTGTATGTGTGCGTGGGTGACGGTTGCTTAGAATCCAAGCAGCCCGAGGGCCCGGCATTGGATGGAGCGGGCGGTTTGGTTCAAGTCGTGGCGATGGAATGAGGTGGCCACAATGAAAAATACATGTGGCATTGTGCTTTATAGCAGCTATGGATTGATAATTTCTTTGAGTAATCCCCATGAATTGAATGGCTGTGGTCAAAATAGTAATTTCTAGTCTAGGATCGCTTGACGGGAAATTGCCCACACTGTCGTTCCACAATGGTGAAGCTAGTCACAGCCGAACCAACAGTTTAAAAGTGTTGCCGTATTTCGCCCATATCCTCTCCAGGCACCTGTGCTGTTTCCTGCTTTTTAATGGATTCCGCCAATGTTGCGTAACTGGTGTGAGATGATATCTCATTATGGTTTGTTCAGTTGCATTTCTCTGATGGGCAAGTTGATCATGAGAATTTCATGTGTGCTTGCGGGGCTGGCATAAAATGTCTTCTTTGAGTAAAGTGTCGTGGCTTCATATCCTTTGCCCCGCCTTTTTGATTAGGTTGTTGTTTTTTCGTTGTAAATTTAGTTTGAGTTCTTTAGGTTCTGGATAGTAAGCCCTTCTGGTATCCAGATGGAAGGGAGTAGAGTGGCAAGAAATTCTTTCCCTCATTCTTGAGGTTGCCTGTTCCACCCTGGGTAGTAGTTTCTTGCTGGCAGAAAGCTCGTTTAGTTTAATTAGATCCCATTTGTCAATTTTGGCTTTTGTTGCCATTGCTTTTGGTGTTTTAAACATGAAGTCCTTGCCCATACCTATGTCCTCAATGGTATTGCCTGGGTTTTCTTCTAGGGTTTTTATGGTTTTAGGTCTAACATTTAAGTCTCTAATCCATCTTGAATTAATTTTTGTGTAAGTTGTAAGGAAGGGATCCAATTTCAGCTTTTTACATATGGCTAGCCAGTTTTCCCAGCACCATTTATTAAATAGGGAATCCTTTCCCCATTTCTTGTTTCTGTCAGCTTTGTCAAAGATCAGGTGGTTGTAGATGTGTGGTATTATTTCCGAGGGCTCTGTTCTGTTCCATTGGTCTATATCTTTGTTTTGGTACCAGTACCATGCTGTTTTGGTTACTGTAGCCTTGTAGTATGGTTTGAAGTCAGGTAGCATGATGCCTCCAGCTTTGTTATTTTGGCTTAGGATTGTCTTGGCAATGAGGGCTCTTTTTTGGTTCCATATGAACTTTAAAG